AAACTTCTGACCTTGTGGTTAGCAGCCCAAAGAGTAGCCACTACCCCACCAGGGCTCCTGAATTAACTTAGTGAATAAATGAGTGATTAAATAAATTCATCTTAAATGATCTCTCCTTATATCCCATAATTCTGAATCCTTATTACTATAATTGTAGCCTTCAATAATTCACTGTCTGAAGTACCTGTTTTATCTCTTCTTAAAACCATATACTTATTAAAGCCAAGGCTTTTATTATAGTTTTATTATTATTTCAGTCTGAACTATGTCCTTATGATCAGTTGCCATGTTTTAGGTTATCTCACACACTGGATATTTGATACTGGATAGTTGATATATTTGGCAAAGGACAAGATATCTGATTCCGCTCCTCTTTAACTAATCAAATACTAAATGAAGAAAGCTATTTGGAAGCACAATTGCATTCCAACGACAAATGAAACTGTCTTTAGGTACAAAGTGGAGAAACAAACATGACCTTCATGAGGGAATCAGAGTGTTCCCTCAATCTGAAGGTAGGCATTAGAGAAGTGATGCAAACATAGAGAGAAGATCTATATAGAAAAGGGCTTTAAGAAAACCAGTTCTAATATTGAGCCCTATTTAATAGGACAGATCACAAAGCTATCAAAATTATGGACAGGATTAATGGATTGAATTGTGCCCCACCTAAACTGTGTTGAATTCCTGGCCCTGTGGATATGAGCCTATTTGGAAATAGGCTTTTCTTTTATTTTGTTAATAGGGCTATATCAATATAGGGTAGATTTTAAACCTAACCACTTCTAAACTATTAAAAGACCAGAATAAACAGATACACGCCAGGGCAAGATAGATGTCAAGGAATACCCTGAGTTGCCCACAAACACCAACAACATAGAAAGAGGTTCACAGAAGGAATTAATATGGTCAGGATTTTGATTTAATTTTTCAGTCTCCAGAATTATGAGAAAATAATTTCTGTTCTTTAAAGTTAGCTTTTTGGGATATGTCTCTTTTGGCAGTACTAGATAACAAAAATAGACAGAGATAAACAGTAGTAAAAATCATGTTAGAAGAATACTTATTAAATATCTTAAGAATGATCAAAGGGAGAGACCATATATTTGTTTCAGGAAGATTGAAGAGCCACAGCACTGCAGACTCCCCCTGACCATGATGGCAATGCGGTCACCCAGGATGTCAGCTTCATCCATATAGTGAGTGGTCAGTAAGATGGTACGATCCTGTTTATACTTCCGAAGGATATCCCAGGTCGCCCTCCTTGAGGCTGGATCCATGCCAGATGATGGTTCATCAAGTACCACTACCTAAAAGCCAGGAGAACAATTTCATGACCACTGATGTTATATTACGACTGGGATAACTTGTTATTCACGAAGGAACAGATTTAAGCTAAGATAGAGCACCAACATTAAAATAGAGGTTAAAAACTAATCACAAACCCCATGACTATGTTATATTAGGTGGGCTAATGACGTAAATCCCCGATCATTATCATTGGCAAGGTTCCTTTTGGAGGTTCAAATTCATATGAAGTTTCAGCTTTGTATCACCTGGATGTTCTTGACCTGCTAGCAGGAATTAGTCTTTAGCATTTGGGTATACTCAATCAATCTTTATCTGCCTCTCTTCCTCCCTCCTCTCCCTCAATTTTTCTGTTAATACCTTGGAGCCCCCTATAAGCGCGATAATGATGGAGAGTTTGCGCTTCATCCCTCTGTTCAGTGACTGTGAAAAGGCATCACGCTTTTCAAGCAGGTTAAAAGCCGACAGCATATGGTCCGTTTCCGTATGATGCATTTTTTGAGGTATGCCTTTGATCTAGAAAGAGAAGCCAGAACTTACACGATGCTTCGAATTTCATCCACAGGACAACTTCCCTTCAGATATCTTTGGACACAGTTACCGGTATATAACAAGTTTCCTATCAACCTTCTTAGAAACATTTTTATACCAGCTCTCTTCTTATGTGTTTCCTCCTTGTTCCACTTTATATCTGAGGGAGAGTTCCTCTAAAGAATTTACCAAAACATCAGACATACTTGAACAGAACAT